TCTCTCTCTCTCTCTCTCATGTGCAGACCGTGTCTCTGTCTCTCTCTCTCTCTCTCGTGCAGACCGTGTCTGTGTCTGTGTCTCTCTCGCACAAACACTCGCACACGCACACAGTTTCTGGGAGGTAGAGCACTTGGTGAACATTCTGTTCTGATGCCGCACACAGGTCTGATACAAGATGGATTCACACAAGGTCCCTATTACAAATGTCTTGTGGCTGAAGTCCCAGCGGATCGAGCCTGTCGAGGTAATGGCCTGTTCTTCCCAGTCTCTTGACATTGGCTGTGTTGCTGCTGCATTTCCAACATTGGGCTACATGTCAAGAAAGTGCCTCCCTCCAGGCTGGACCTGCAGCCTCCATCCTCCAGGAGATTCACCTCATCTATCCCTCTGCTGGCCCCGTCCCATTGTCCCCCCTCAGCCCCTGATCTTCTTGACCCTCCGCTGCACCCAGTCCAGTCTCCGTTTTACACATCTCATCATCGAGTTTAAATTCCTACAGGCCCCCCAAACCCACACTCCTCTCTTTCACCTCTTCCTGCCCCCTACACCCCGTCTCTATCTCTGTCACCTCCTCCGGCCCCCTACACCCCCTCCCTATCTCTGTCACCTCCTCCGGCCCCCTACACCCCCTCCCTATCTCTGTCACCTCCTCCGGCCCCCTACATCCCCATCCCTATCTCTGTCACCTCCTCCAGCCTCCTACACCCCTTCCCTGTCTCTGTCACCTCCTCCAGCCCCCATACCCCTGTCCCTATCTCTGTCACCCCTTCCGCCCCCTACACCCCCTCCCTATCTCTGTTACCTCCTCCAGCCCCCTACACCCCCTCCCTATCTCTGTCACCTGCTCCAGCCTCTGGACCTACACCCATCATAAAGTCAGTTTGGGTGGTTCTGACCTGGGCGTTGATGTCTTGACTAGCAGGTGGCTGTGCTCGCAAACTGGGCATTGGGCACCAGATGGCAGCATTGTCTCACTTCTCAACAGGCCATGGAGCCACACATCAGAAACAGGAGCGGAAGTGGGCCAGTGAGACCACCCTGCTATTAAATAAGATCATGGCTGATTTTTTCATGGACTCAGCTCCCCTTACCCGTCCGCTCACCATTACCCTTAATTCGCTTACTGTTCAAAAATCTATCTTTGCCTTAAAAACATGCAACGAGGCAGCCTCACTGGACAGGGAATTCCACAGATTCCCAACTGTTTGGGTGAAGAGGTTCCTCCCCAACTCAGTCCCAAATCTGCTCCCCCTTTAGTTTGAGGCTGTTCCCCCTCGTTCTAGTTTCACGCACCAGTGGAAACCACTTCCCTGCCTCTATCCTATCTACTCCCTTCAGAATTTTATATGTTTCTATAAGATCCCTCTTGATTTCTTCTAAATTTCAATGAGTATAATCCCAGTCTACTCAGTCTGTTCTCATAAGCCAACACCCGTCAACTCCTGAACCAACCTGGTTAACCTCCCCTGCACCCCCTCCAGTGCCTGTACATCTTTTCTCAAGTAAGGAGACTGAAACGGTACACAGTACTCCAGGTATGGCCTCACTGGCACCTTATACAGCTGCGGCATAACCTCCCTATTTTTAAACTCCATCCCTCTGGCAATGAGGGACAATATTCCATTCTTAATTAGCTGCTGCACAAGCGTAGAGCATGGAAACAGACCCTTTGGCCCAACCTGTCCATGCCGACCAAGTTTCCCAAACTCATCTAGACCTAGTTGACTGTGTTTGGCCAATATCCCTCTAAACCCTTCCTAGCCATGTACCTGTCCAAATGCCTTTTAGATGTTGTAATTGTACCAGCCTCCACCCACTTCCTCTGGCAGCTCATTCCATACACGCACCACCCTCTGTGTGTAAAAGGTCCCTTTTAAATATTGCCCCTCTGTCCTTAAATCTATGCCCTCTGGTTTTGAACTCCCCTACACTGGGGGTAAAGAACTTTGCCATTCCCCTTATCCATGTTCCTCACAATTTTATAAATCTCTATAAGGTCACCCCTCAACATTCTACACTCCAGGGGAAAATGTCCCAGCCTATCCAGCCCCCTCCCTATGACTCAAACTCTCCAGTCCCAGTAACATCTTTTCTGCACTGTTTGCAATTCAATAATATCCTTCCAATAGCAGGGAGACCAGAACTGTACGCAGTACTCCACAAATGGCCTCACCAATCACCTGTACAGCCACAACATGATATTCCAACTCCAATACTCAATGGTCTGAGCAATGAGAGCAGTGTGCTAAACGCCTCCTTAACCACCCTATCTCCATGTGATGACACTGGCGAGCAACTGTGTACCTGAAACCGTATGTCTCTCTGTTCGACCACTTGCCCCAGAGACCTGCCATTAACTATATAAGTTCTGCCCTTGTTCAGAAGGCTGTTGAAACTTTGATTTGTCTACACCCCTGGGCAGAATTAAACATCCCAGATGCCTTCTGAGGGCTGCAAAGTCACGCAGATGTTTGACAACGAGACACAAGATGAGTTATTGGGGACAGCCGGCAAAACCCAGATCCACAAAATCCGTTTTGAGGACAGTCTTAAAGGAGAAGAGAGGTGGAGATTTTTCAGGAAGGAGTTCCAGAAACCCCCCTCCCCCCACCAAACAGCTGAAGGGAGAGGGTGTAGGAGGCTGGAGGGGGTGACAGAGATAGGGAGGGGGGTGTAAGGGCTGGAGGAGGTGACAGAGATAGGGAGGGGACATAGGGGCTGGAGGAGGTGACAGAGATAGGGAGGGGCTGGAGGAGGTGACAGAGATAGGGAGGGGGTGGAGGGGGCGGGGGGGGGGGACAGAGATAGGGAGGGGGTGTAGGGGGTGTGGAGGAGAGGCAATGGAGATGGATATAGAGAAATGGATCCACCCATGTCCTTTATCCCGAATATGGAATGAATGTGAGGAATGTGCAACAACTGCCTGTTTTGGCTCTGATTTCTGTGTTTATTTATCTTCGGCTGTCTTGTTGTTTCCCTTCTCGCTGGAGCAAGGAGAGATTCTCTTTGTCTGACCTGTCTACGTGACAGAAAGCAGCACAGAGCACAAGGAGCTGCAGAAACTAGCTACTATCACCTCCCATCACCCCAGCCTTTCTCCAGGGGCCCTGCAACTCATTCCCTTGCAGTGTTCCCTCTCCGCAAGTTTCGTAAAAGTTTCTGTTGAACCTTCTGCCTCTCAGACAGCACATCCCAGATTCCAACACATCGCTGTGTCAAAATTACATGTTCTCCTCCTCTTGCCCCCTCCCTCTGGTTCATTCTCCGACTCTCTTCAATCTGTGTTCCCCCTCACTCTGGTGACTGATCCTGCAGCCTTTGGGAACAGATTCTCCCCAATTCCCCTCCATCGAAGTTCCCTTTGCCATTTGGAATGCCTTGATTCAATCGATCACTTCTCTGCTCCAAGGGGAACCATCCCATCTTCTCATCTTCTCTCCGACGGTTCTGTCACCCTTCAGGACGATGGGGTCCTGGAATTGACGCCTTTCCCCTCTCCCATCTGATTTACACCTCCTCCCTATCTCCATCACCTCCTCCAGCCCCCTACATCCCCTCCCTATCTCTGTCACCCCCTCCAGCCCCCTACACCCCCTCCCTATCTCCATCACCTCCTCCAGCCCCCTACATCCCCTCCCTATCTCCATCACCTCCTCCAGCCCCCTACACCCCCTCCCTATCTCTGTCACCCCCTCCAGCCCCCTACACCCCCACCCTATCTCCGTCATCTCATCCAGCCCCCTACACCCCCTCCCTATCTCTGTCACCTCCTAAAGCCCCCTACACCCCCTCCCTGTCTCTGTCACCTCTTACAGCCCCCTACACCCCCTCCATATCTCTGTCACCTCCTACAGCCCCCTACACCCCCACCCTTTCTCTGTCAACTCCTCCAGCTCCCTACACCCCCTCCCTATGTGTCACCTCCTCCAGCCCACTACACCCCCTCCCTATCTGTCACCTCCTACAGCCCCCTACACCCCCTCCCTATCTCTGTCACCTCCTCCAACCCCCTACACTCCCTCCCTATCTCTGTCACCTCCTCCAGCCCCCTACACCCCCTCCCTATCTCTGTCACCCCCTCCATCCCCCTACACCCCCTCCCTATCTCTGTCACCTCCTCCAGCCCCTACACCCCCTCCCTATCTCTGTCACCTCCTCCAGCCCCCT